AAAATTTAGTTTATATTTAATTTGAATAAAGTGTTTATTTCATGTTTCATCAGTTTTTACATATTTAAAGTGCTGTGACACTATTTAGCGTTTGGCTAAGTAATTAAGCGTGAAAATTAAAAGTGAGAAATACTTAAGGCGAGAAGAAGTTATCACGAAAGACATACTGAGCGATGTTATTTTTTTTTAACAAAAGAAAAGTGGAAAAGTGAAGATTTTACTTTCATTTGCGAAAAAAAGTATTTTTTTCACAAAAGATAGGAAATTCATAAGATCTCGAATCTGTCAGAATTAATTTATGCTATGATGCGGTGAATAAAAGATAGCAATCTGCCCGTGGCAATAACGAAAATTTCAAATTGGTCAAGTGGCTTACAAAACGGAATGCTGGAAGAGAATCGTAATTAGGTCGAGGATGTGACCAAGAAAGGGATCAGCTGAGACCACCCCAAAGAAAAAGGGAGGAGGAAGAGAAAAAGAAAAAGAATAAACCATTAACTATCTTTCAGAGATATCATTTGATTTTGGAAAGGAACCACCTGTTTTATGTCCAGACCTTGCCATGATAAAAGTTTGTTACCTGGACAGATTGTTGGCGACAGAAGTATGAAGGCGTTGAGGATACAAGGAGATTCTGATAATCACTTGACAAAAATCTCGTTGATGAATTCCAGATGACATTCAGTTAAGATAGAGACTTAATGACCACACTACGAGTCGTGGGGTCCCAGTCGGGGAAAAGAAAGAAAAGAAAAGGAAGATAATTTTTTTTTTCTTTGAGTGATAATTGTAAACTGAGGCCAGACTAGCCACACCCACGCTGCCGAGCGTTCATTGGCTGAATGGTGGCGTGAGCGATGGGCGAAGGTAAACATATGAGAAAGAAGGAAAACCTGTTGATGCCTCTGAGGGGATTGGTGTGAGATACCACTATGAGAAAGGAAGAATTTGGGAGGACAATTCCCTTAAGAACCCCTCTAAAACAGAAAGTAATGGACTTCCAAAAATGGAAAGTGATAAATTTTCCTGTCCGAAAACAAAGAAAATCCTTATTGTGAATTTGGAATTATCGAGGAACCCAAACCATGACAGGTCCCCACCCGGTTTTGGTCGGTGTCCATATAAACGGAGTTACAGGGCAGAGACGTGGCAGTTGGGCAGACGCAGTAGTAGCGGACAGCCGACAGACGGTAGCAGTTGAGCTGTGAGCTCACAGACCAGCCTCGCAGGAGCGGCCTGAAAGATATCCACGCATTCCAACTTAGACTTCTAACCAAAAACAATTTTTTTTTTTGAAGAACGACTTAGACTCACACCACCAAAACAAGTTTTACGAATATCGCCTGAAGACACCAAAAACCAGTTTCTTGAAAAACAACTTAAGATATTAAGACTCGCCTAACAAACGCAAAGTGTCACGTATCCATAGAAGCGGTTTGGGAGAAAGACACAGTCCTGTATTCAGCAACCAGATATAAAGATATTTGTTATTCTTTTTTTAACACATTTGAATTTTTCGAGTTGTTACTTTATTTTCTTTTACATATACTTGTGCAGTGTCACCTTTGCTCGAATTCGGCTTGCACTTCGGCCCGACGACTGATTGATTTTGTCTGCCTAAGATCAAATCACAACATGGGTAGGTTAGACTAGAAATCAAAGCAGTTACTTCAGTAACCAGACGTTGGAGGCAAGCTGGGAATGACAAAGCTGATACCGAATCTAACCAGGTTTCTATCCGAATCAGCCAAGGGTTAGAATGTCACATTTGGCGCCGCGACCAATACCAAGTCACATTGGTCGTCACAGGATGGTACGTGAGATGATCAGCGCGGTTTGCACTAGACTTGACCAAGGTCATGTCAATATTTAAGCCGTATTCTTTGACAAACCCCTCCAAAGTGCTGAGTCAACATCTTATTAGCATCTCTGTGGCCGCTTTGGTGCACACTTTCGCCCTGTCATGGGGGTTGGACCATGACGGTGAATACTCGGAATGTGAGAACACGTTGGTAGGTGAAGACAGCGAGTCATCTGAACAAGGAATCATAATCTGATTCAACACAAACGCCCAGTGACACAATGGATGATGATGATCTGCTGAACCCGGATGAAGAGACTTCCCCCATCCAATTCACCTCAACAGATGGTCCTTTTCGTGTTAGACGCACGAACCTCTTCAGTTCCACTACGGAGAAGCGCAAGACTGATGAGACTTTCCCTATCTGATTCACCTCAACAGATGATCCTCCATCATTAGACACACAAACCTCTTCGGTTTACGGAGAAGTGCAAGACTGAAGCGACCACACCTGTCACCTGTATGATCAAGAGATCAGAGGTAGTGTAGTAACACAGAGTATGGCTTACCTAGTATGAAGCATGTTCGAGCTGCTGCAGCTGTAACAGGAAATCCGGTCTGAGGCCTAGAGGTGTGCATGCGCATCGACTGTGATTTGATAAAATGGACATCACACCTATACAAATGTATCAACACCTGCAGCTTACTATATAAATGGCTACATTGCTTGCTGTGGGACGGTAGTATTTCTGTAAATGATTCTCATGGTGTGTAGCAAAAAGAGAAAGCGATACAAGTGACATAAGTAGATTACTCTCTACTAAACGTGAAACCCAGAAAAATATATAAAATTTGGTTGTCTGTCAGTGTGCAAATATTCTGCAAGACCAATGTCAAATGCAGCATAGGTCTTATATCCTTCCCAACTTAGCAGAACTTGCATAATGAAGGTGACTATTTGGATATAGAGCTTTAAAAAATAATTTAATTTTTAAAAATTGTAAATGTAATAAATATTAAGTAGATTTTCTGTCTGAATAGATATCATTATTTACAATCAAGATTAATATCCTCATCTTTGTTGTTGTTATGTTTCAACCACTGTACTCTATGGCCTATCAATACTTCAGGAACCTTCAGGAGATGTCAACCTTAACTTGTACAAGTCTAGAAACCAAGCAATGGATAATGTTATAACAATATCAATAAAGTTGATTATAATGGTGATGATTGTACGCACTTCCGGTCTCTCTAGGGAATGCTGGGAGCAAAATAGATTCAGCGAGAGCTTTTGAATAATGTTGTTAAGTTTACCACATCTCATGTTGTCTTTGTGTTGTTTCAATTTTTCAGTGGCCAATTTCATATAACTTATGCTTCCACCTTAAGCCCAGTGGAACAGATACAATCTCACTACTTATACTAAGAGAAAAGCTTGGTATGTGGTGGAGATTCTGGACTGACAGGTCCCAAGACCAACAAGCCTAGGGTTTACAAAACAAACTCTTTCAGTAACCTTCTACCTCGAGTGGCTCTTGGGGCTTGTATATTGTGAACTTCAGTAAAAAAAAAAAAAAAAAAATGAACAAAATGAGAACACTCTATCCTCGTAGATTAAATAAAGGATTCATTTCAAAATTTGAAGGTTACCTGAAACAATAAATATTGTTGGCAAAAAGCATATCTCTGACAAGGGATTCACGTACTTTGGTCCTGGCTCTGAGACAAGCAAGACTGAACAGCCGGCCATCTGATCTCAAACACAGGTAAATCCCTTCTCTTGATGTGCCAAATGCATGCTTCAGAAGTAGAGCAAAGAAGATCCCAAAGAGAGTGGTAGTGAGGACATAGCCCTGTTTGACCCCACTGCAGATGTTGAAGAGTTCAGAGGTGCAGCCATTGAACTGCACAGTCCCTAGCATGTTTCTGTGGAAGAACTCAATCAAGCTCTGCAGCTTGGGTGGGGGCAGCCAATCTTGGGCAGGATTCCGAAGATGCCTTCTCTGCTGACCAGATCGAACGCCTTGGTGAGATCAATAAAAGCGACATACAGGGGCATCTGCTGTTCTCTGCACTTCTCCTAGAGCTGGTGGAGGGAGAAGTCCATGTGTACCATTGATCTTTCAGCTCAGAAACTGCTACTCTGGGTAGACATGGTTGGCGAATTTCTGCAGGCAGACCAAGATGACCCAAGTGAAGACTTTGCCCACCGTGCTGAGTAGCGAGATGCCTCTGTAGATGTGGCAGTCATTTTGCTCACTCTTGCAACAGAGATTGTCATGCCCGCATCAGCCTCTGCAGTCACAGGCGTCAATGCTCCAGCCAAGCAGACAACTAGGATGCTTATCCATGGTCACCCTGACCGATGGAGGCCTTTACCAGACACATGAAGAAGGCAAGAGAAAACAGCTGAAACATTGTGATGATGACAAAGATGAGGATATTAGTCTGACAGGAAATAAAGAAATGGTTTCATATTGAACTGAAGCCACTAAAGGCAGAATTTAAGTGAATAGTATTAAAAGTAACAAAAGGTTGAGAAAGTTAATCCAAATAATTTATTAAATCATCTCAAAAATGAACAAAATCTTACAATTCGTAAGACAAAGGTGACTTCACACTGACTTCTAATCCAATAGACCAATGTGTCTCTGATGTTAAGCTTTTAAACTTACAAAATAATGTAAATATTCACCATGTTGTAATCTACATATATAATTATGACTTAAAGAAAAAAAATAATAGTAAAAAATAATTAAAATTTTCATTTTCTTTAATGTTTGCTTGAAAACAAAATTTGCACTTTTACTTCTGAGCAATAAAAAATTTTGTGTTTAATAAAAAAAATGTTTGTTTTTTTTCATTATACTGGGGTTCAGGTTAATTTTTAAAATGTTTATTTTTAAAACAAACATTTTCTAATCTTCAAATTAATTCTAAACTCTTACGAACAGTAAATTACTTCCTTCTGAAAGTGAAAGAAGAAACAAATGTTACTTATTCAAATATTTTCCCTTGGATATTATCGGTTTTTGCGACAACCGAAACCAAAATTTGTGGAATTTAATCTCAGAGTCTGATATTTTACAAAACAGAATAAACAAAGTCACTATTAAATTGACTGGTCTGCTAACCAAAAAAAAAAAAGAAAAAAAAAAAAATTTGAATTTTTGTAGGTTAGAATTCATTACATGTTTTGACTCCAGTTCTCATCTGATCACTGAAGTGAAACAATGCTGAGCCTGGTTACTACTCAGATGGGTGGCTGTTGGGGAATACCATGTAAGCTACATAAGCCAAGCAAACCATACAATCTCACCACTTACACTAACAGACTTTGATATGTGGAGGTGCTTCTGGTCTGACAAGTCACAGGACCTACCAGGAGTTGGGTAGATGGGTGTTTGAGTGGCAAGAATTCATTAGATCTTACTCAGAATCAAAAAGTATTGATTTCTTTTATCATTTTAGAAGAGGGGTCCTGGTCATAAAGTCAGTACAGTGTAAAATTGATTCCTGACTTCACAAAAATTATATATTTTTTGCTTTTATTTAAGAATAACAAGTTTGAAACAATGCTTACGTCACTAATAACTGTGTAATACTGATGATGTCTTTTTTCCCAATTTGCAATAGTAAACAACCATCAATGACATAAGCAGTTTCAAACTTGATATTTGTAAATAAAAACAAAGTACAGATAACTCTTTAAGAAGTCAGGGACTGATTTGACACTAGATTTATATTATGAACAGAACCCCACTTCCAAAATGATAAAAAAATCAATTTTTTTTTTATTATTCTGATGAATGTCGTCAAATGAAGGTGAATCTACTGAAATTATCCTCTCACTAAATTTTCCCTACTTTATATGAGCAGACCAGTAAATTTAAGTAGTTGCCAAACCAGCATAAATATTCATTCAAATTAATTAGAATCCTTTCACAGAGTTTACAATTAATATGGTCCACATGAGAAAAATGAAAACTTGACAACATATCAAGCAATTAGCAGGAAAATATTTGTGGAGTTTGGTACAAGAATATGGCTATGAAAAGCATAAGCATATAAAATACATTTTTTTTGTCTGCAAATTAAGAAAAAAAAAAAATTAATGATTTTTAAATTTACTGTTTAATGCCCGCCCACACCTGCTGTTGAAGTGCCAAGAGAGCCGATATTTTGATCGACAAATATCACAGTCAACTGGAATTATCTGAAACAAAAATTTTTTTTAATGGTGAATGCAATATTTGAAAGCATATAAAGGCATCACTATTAACATTAACTTTGCTCAGTAAAACTTGTAACATTTAGTGTATGTCTATGCAACTGTCTCCTTAGTTGAAATTTTTCAGATACAGAATGAGAAAAGAGGGCTTGGCGAATTTGACACTCACAGGACATACTGAAGACAGGAAAGAAAAACCTATCTTACAAATTTGTGTAAATGGTTGTCAGATCAGAACAGTAAAAAAAAAACAAAAAAAGCACACATTACAAAGACATATAAAGGATAGGAAGTTGTGGGAAGCTGTGATTGTCCATGTGCTGAAGGGACATGTTGCATAAAAGTAGGATGGAACAGAGGTAGTTATGAAGCTGGGTGAGATAAATGAACCTACCAGATACTTCAACTTCATATACGAGAGGGTGCTGAAAAGTTCTCGATTTAACCCACATCCAAAATTAGTATTCTGATGTTCAGTCATTGAAATATTGATTTTAAAAAATGAGTCAAGCCAAGAACTTTTCAGAACACATTCATCTAAGACACACGGATTTTATTTTTAGCAATTTTTAGGCAATGGAAATAAATGGGGATATAAGCTTATATGCCCTTAAATATGGTAGATTTTTTTTTATTTCCCCAGCATATAACTGTTTTCCTGAACCAAGCTATCACAATCTCTGCTTGTTTTAAAAAAAAAACCAAAAAAAAAAACCTTACTCTTTCATCAGTCTCCTTCATAATTCATTTCCTCAGTATTCATTCAGGAGACTGAAATAATTGGCTCAAGGGTCATAAGGTACTCGTTAATGAAATTTTCTTCTGAAAATTTCATTATGTGAGCACGAGCATTTCTTCTGATCTTCAGTTTGTCTTCATCCTGTAAGCTAAAAATGGTTTTCATTGCATCAGAATAACTGTCAACATCAAATGCCTGGAATCCAGTCTGTTTACCATTGTAAGGAACTACAATGTCCATCTTTGGACCACCTGAATCATGAGCCAACATTATAGTACCAGCTGCCATGCATTCAACAACACCTGAAAGAAAGAGAGAGAAAAAATAGTATTGAATAAAAGACATGGGGTTTAATAAGAATAATCCCAAGAAAACAATGTAAGAAACGACTTGACATTGGTTAAAAATTGAAAGATTCTTTTGATCAACACAAATTGCAAAATGATTTATTTATGTCTCATTTTTAGGTGAAATAGAGACATGAATATTCTGATTCCCTCTCCATGTCTGCGTATCAAGTTGATCCAAGTATATACAAGGTCTGTCTGAAAAATAACAGGACCAGATGTGCTGTGTGACCTATCAGCAAAAGAGGGATAAGAAGATTGTGTTAGAATCTAACATAATATCTTGGGAGTATATAACTGTAATCTTAGTGCTTGTTTCACTCAGTGCACAAGAAGAGATGAGAGTTGTGGCAGGACAAATAGTGGCTGCTTCACCATGACAATGCACTTGCTCAAAATACCCTGAGTATTCAGCAGTTTATGGCTGAGAAGAACATCACTATACTGGAACAACCTCCCTATTCACTTAATCTTGTTCTGTATGATTTTTTTTCTTTTCCCCAAGCTCAAGGGGATCATCAAGGGGAGCGTTTTAAAGGCGTGCAGGCCGTCAAGAGGGTTGTAATGACAGGGCTGAGGGGCATCCAAGAAGAATCCATCCAGCAGTTCATAGAAGCGTTGGCAGAGAAAGGATGGAAAATTGCATTACTCTCAAAGGGGATTACTTTGAAGGGGAAACCATGTAGTTTGTTGTTTGGAATTGAAATAAATTGTTTAGGATACCAGTCTCGTTACTTTTCAGATAGACTTTGTACGTTATGCCAGTTCAAAGATATCAATATATTGGGCCAATCCAAATATATATATCATGTTGATTGAAAGATATCAGTATATTGGGCCAATCCAAATACATATGTCATGTCAGTTCAGAGATATCAGTATAGTGATGTTCCAAGTGTAGCTTAGATACGGTACAAGGCCAAAAGTAGGGAGCACCCAGTGAGGATTGAACTCACTACTCAGTCATAATTGTTCTAGTGAGACAAGATTGCTAACCATTACACCGCCTCGAGGTACCCCAGAGATATCAGTATATTGGGCCAATTTAAATATATATATATATCATATCAATTCAAAGATATCAATATACAGTGTCAATCCAAATATATATATCATGTTGATTCAAATATAAGCTTGTATATCATGTTGATTTAAATATATAAACACATATATTGCACTGTCTCAAAGGGAAAATGATAAAAACCAATTTTGAGTTGTAGCTTAAATGAGTCTCTATTACTCGGATATCGCTTATACAATTCAAGATACCGCTGGTTCAATCCACCATTCTTGCTTTCCGCACACTTTAAAACATAAACCAGTCTTTTTCTCCCCTTCTCACTGCTTCAGCCCTCTGTTATCAGGCTAACAACGCGGTCGACCAACCAATCAGCGTTCTTTGCTTTTATTCTCAGTTACCCAGATAAATAGCCTTCTCCAGTTCAACCAATCAGCACACGACTTGCTATTGGTCAGTGCATGCCAAACTGTACAAAAACCCATGTTACCACACATACTGCTGGAATGGCTAGACAGGAGAATAATGTCATTTTCAAGGAGCAAAATTGCTGATGTCACGTGCCGTTGAGGCCCTTATTTTCCTTTGCACCAGATACAAGCCACTCTGGCTCACTTGCTTCTATGGGACTGTTCACCATGAGTTTACCCAGAAATTGATGTACGTGAAATGAACTGGGTATTATAATAATAATAAAAACTCATTTTTAAAGTTTCATGTTGCTTGGTTGGCTTTCGCATATACAAGTTCCATAAATTATAAGGGTTGCTGGGGCACCATATGTACTGCAGCCTTAGCCACAGACAATGGACAAGGAAGCCTGACAAAACTCAACCCATCCCTTTTTAAATTCTTTCTCCTTCAAGTCCAGTCTGCACTATTATTTAGAAAGATCAGAGTAGTCCCTCTGCTAGACTGGTTGCTAACCAAGGCTAAATAGCCTAGTCTACCCTATTATTTACAAGGATTTGAATTCAGGGTTTTCTTTCTCCAATTTAATGCATACTTGTTGTAGAAGGGGGTCATGGTTTTTCCAAGGGTATTAGTGTAGTGAACGTAGATAATCAAGTACCCGGAAAAAAGTTCGTGTTTTAAAAAGCGATCTGCGGGGAGGGATTGCCAAAAGTAGTCAGCAAAACTCTTATAGCGACTTACCTCGTCAACCCTGACAAGTTGTCGTCGCGTGTATTCTGGGACGAAAAAGAAACAAGTCCATCGTGGGAGTCGCTTATAAGAGGATATTAATATGCAAATTACGGAGCATCCTATCCCGGCTGTCATTTAATGGAAAAAATAGGTTCTGCCGATAAAAGCAGTTGGTGTTGTCGACGGGAGGAAAAAAATTCGGGCAGTTTTGGCTACGGGCGTTCGTGTGAGTTATTTTCCTGACGTGTTACAAGTGATTTTCTTTTCGTTGTGTTGTGAAAGCCACAAATTTGCTTTTGAGAACGCTTACACTTCAAGCTATTTCGGCGTTTACTTTGTCTCTCGCAAGATGCATGGAAAGACCGTTCGATATAAGATTGATCGGATTCTTCCTCTGCGATTGAATGGCGGTGCCCTTGCTGTGTATAGGCAGCTGAGTAAAGAACAGAAAAGTGACATTGAGCAAATAAAGCACGCTCTACTAACCGCGTTTTTGAACTGGACGGTTCGTGGCCTACGACCAATTCTAGGCACAAGGCGTCTAATTCGGCGAGACAGTAGACATATATTTGGCAGAATTAAAGAAGCTCATTGTCCAATCGCACCGCTTCCTGAAGAATGGATGACATGTGCCTTCGTTTCTGGATTGCCCAGTCGTTAAGCAGATACTCTGCACATCATCCAGAATGGAAGACCAGACGCTCAATCAATTGTTGACCAGAGCCTGTGCTGTCATGATCGATTTAAAAAAAAAAAAAAAAAAAAAAAGAGGCTGATGAACCAGTGGCGCAGTTATTCAACCAATTGAAGTCAAAGAAGGTCCGACCCCAGCCATTCGTCACCATGGCGCGTTGCCACCTGCTATCAGTGCTCTGGGGCGAATCATTTTGCCAGAGACTGCCACTATCAACGCCAAGAAATGCGCAGCGCGGTCGGGCGCGAAAAGGCACGCCTCGATCCACGATGCTTTCAATGTCAGAAAGTAGGTCATATTGCCTCTAAGTGCCCGGGAAATGGAATGGGGACGACGTCAGCGCCGGTCTCTTCCCGCACCGAGCATGAAAGTGGCGCTCCCTCAGATTAAAGGTACGATCAATGGAATAACGCGTTAATAGATTCGGGCTGCTCTCGGTCACTCACCAACGGTTTGATTTGGCCGACAGTGGAGCAGACAAAAGATGGACGATATTAACGGCTGATGGAAAGGCTCTTAGAAGCCGGGGAGTTGGAATCATCAAACTCAGTATTAACAACGGTGACCCTGTCACAGTCAGTGTGTTGGTCGTGGACAGCTGTTATTAGGGTTTCGATCTGCTCCTTGGGATGGACATTATTAAGGAGCTGGGCAGCGTCACGCGATTACAGAGGCAGGTGAAGTCAAGTTTTCTGATCCGCCCATCTGTGCTACTTTGAAGATCAACGAGCCCGACTTTTAGCACAGAGTTCACCAAAGGACTAAGACATGGACAGCATTTTGGAAATGGTGGAAAATAACCCACCAGAAAAGCTCCAGAACTGAGGTCAGAATATTTAGCACCCCTTCAGATGATGAAGACTCTCGATGAGGTTGTCAGATCAGAAGAAACCTCAGAACATAACACACAATCTCCTCCAACAGTCACCCGCGCCCGAGAAGCTTAAGAATAAAGAGGTTCGCCCATGAGTGTCACTTATGTGACAGGGGGAGTGTAGTGAACGAGATAATTAAGTACCCCGAAAAAAGTTCGTGTTTTGTGTGCGATCTGCGGGAGGGATTGCCAAAAAAGTAGTCAGCAAAACTCTTATAGCGACTTACCTCGTCAACCCAAGCGACAGCGCTGTCAGGTGTATTCTGGGACGAAAAAGAAACAAGTCCGTCACAGGAGTCGCTATAAGAGGATATTAATATGCAAATTACGGAGCATCCTATCCTGGCTGTCGACATTTAATGGAAAAAAATAGGTTCTGCCGATAAAAGCAGTTGGTGTTGTCGACTCGGGAGGAAAAAATTGGGCAGTTTTGGCTCTATGCGTTCGTGAGTTATTTTCCTGACGATGTTACAAGTGATTTTCTTTCGTTGTGTTGTGAAAGCCACAAATTTGCTTTGAGAACGCTTACACTTCAATTAGTGTGAAATGAACCAAACTAACTCAACCACTTCCACTTTCCATGACAATAACTGTGACTCTATTCACACATCCACCTTAACATTACAATACTATCAACAAAAGCAAAGATAATTAAATAAATTTCTGAGTGGAAACCTTACACAGGTAATTATTTTGAGTTGTATTTCTTTAAGCAAAACATTCAGATCGTCATTTTATAATTGTTAAGCAACAAAGAATAAATGTTCTGGGAAATTTGAATTTGTATCACATTTTGGTTTTTTGTGCGTTAATCTTTTCTATCTATGACAGCAAGAAATATTCAAGCATGGCAGATGGAATGAAGAAAAATGGAGAAAAAACATCAGCAAAAAGTAAAAGATGAAAAGATTGAAGAAAAATAAGAAAAAATAAAGGAAAGAAAAAAGAATAAAAAGTAGAAGAAATATAAAAGAGAAGAAAACAAGAAAAAAAGAAACAAAAACAAGAAAAACAAAAGAAACAGAAAAACAAAAAAAGAAAACAGAAGAAAACAAAATGAAAAGAAAACAAAACGAAAAAAAATAGAAAATGAAAATCAGAGGAAAAGAAAAAAGAAAAGGAAAGAGAAGAAAACAAGAAAAACACAAGAAAATAAGAAAAAACAAGAAAAAAAAAGAAACAGAATAAGAAAAACAAGAAAAAGAAAACCAGAAGGAAAAACAAAAAAAGAAAAACAGAAGAAAACAAAATGAAAAGAAGAAGAAAAAAACAAGAACCAAAAAATAGAAAATGAAAATCAGAGGAAAAGAAAAAAGAGAAGAAAACAAAAAACAAGGAAGAAAAACAAGAAAGAAAGAGTTGAAATAAAAAGAAAAAAATCAGAAAATCTTACCAATTCCAAAATGTTCATTCCACATGGTATGAAGACCAATCTCAGCCTCAGCAAGCAATTGCTTCAATTCAGAAAATTCCACATTCAGTTTAAACTCCACATTTTTCTCCACGTCCAGTTCACTGCACAGATCTCTTAACTTACTAACAAGGTTTATATCTTCATCACCTCGACAACCACCAACTAAATTTAGTTTATAATTCATGCGTTGGTTTTCAGCAATTTGCGATAAAAACTTAGCAAATGACTTTATCTGTAGTGGGTGATCCTTTTCTGGACGAAACTGCCCAACCGATATAACTGACCGTACCCTATTGTTTCTCTGTAGGGGGATTTCCAAAAACTCTCCTACATCACAAGGTGGATACACGATTTTTGTGCACGAAACCTTCCAGAGAGATTTTATGTGACTATAAGTCCAAGAAGAATTGACCATAACAACAGAACAGCATCTGCCAGTTATTCCATAGATAAATGCAAACATGTTATAGTAGTAAATCTTTAACCAAGTTAAAAATGTGTTTTTGGCAACAAGCTGTGAATTGTTGTAATCTTCAGTACCTTCTCCAACTCTCTGGGTCATCTCGTGGGTGATAGTTGGGTAATGCACATAGCAAAAAGTCTTGCAACCCCCAAAATATCGGAATAAAGGAAGAGTAAAAGCAAATCCCATACTGTCGCAGTAAACATCAGGAATAAAAGAGAAGAGAGCTTCGGTTCCAGTGACCAGTGACCCAAAACTCTGGCAAAGCAAAGTGAAGTGTCGGTAGTGGTGAGCTTCCAACCATTTGTACTTTGTTAAAAACACAAAATGAACTGGAAGTTGAATGGTGATGTTAAACCTTTGACGAGCCTTTTCTAGTATTTGTGCTCCAGTGGTATTGGTATCAGCTGTATAGATGACACACATCACCTTGGAGCCATACCTATAACAAAAAACATGATAGATGTTATGCTTTATTAAGACAAAAAATACATCTTTTTTTTAATAAGAAAACTTACCTGACCAGTCAATCAATCAATACACCTGTACTTGCATAGTCTGATCCTAAAAACCCACTCTACTTCAATTGTTCAACAGTATTGTGACAGCTGGTATTGTCTGACCCTAAAACCAGTCAACTTTCCTTAGTTCAACTGGTCAACAGTATTGTGACAGCTGACAATGTCTGATCCTAAAAGTCATCAACCCTCTCCACTTCAATTGTTCAATAATATTGTGACAGCTGGCATTGTCTGATCCTAAAAGCAGTCAAACTTCTCTACTTCAACTGGTCAACAGTATTGTGACAGCTGGCAATGTCTGATCCTAAAAGCAGTCAGTCTTCCTTAGTTCAACTGGTCAACAGTATTGTGACAGCTGGCAATGTCTGATCCTAAATGCCATCAACCCTCTCCACTTCAGTATTGTGACAGCTGGCATTTTTCTGACATGAAAGGCACCAGTGGACCAGTCTATGTTATTAATAAAGTAATTTATTTTGTACAACTTATACCAGTGATTGAAAGTAATTATTAACCTAGCTAAACCTGTGGAAATTCCAAGGCTCATTGACATCAAAGAATATCTATTCATTACTTCTCACCTAAGCTCTTTTCTCAAACTTTTGTCATCCTGCTTCATTCCAATTTTAGATGCCAATCTAGGGTTTTATAGAAATGTTATACAAACATTGATTAGTTTCATATGCAAATAAAGTAGGAACCTCCACAAAAACGTGATGCCTAGTGTTTAAAATGAATTTTTAATAATGAAAAATCTTTCTTGAAGATTTTATTTTAGTTTTAATTTCAAGCTGAGGGATTAAATTTAATATTTTCAATAAACAAAATATGCTGTATTTCAAATCTAATTTAAATTGATTGGAATTTCTAAAATTTTTTAATTTAGTGCCATTTTTAGCAAACTGTTATAATAATGTAAATCCCTTTATTAAAAAAAAAGATATAGTTTTTTTAAACTTTATTTGAGGAATATTAGCTGATCAAAGTATAATTAATATGATTTGAAACAAATATTATTTACTTTAAGTTTAAAATATCACAGAAATATATTTTTTTTAACATTATGGTATTTATTTGACAGCTTTTTAATATCTCTATAACAGCTTGATGATAGATGGATTTTATCTAATGTTGTTCTACAGGAATTTGGTTATATTCCTAAAGAAATAATTGAGGAATATAAAGTGAGCACCTTTTAAGTACTCAGTAATCTTAAAAATTTTTTTAAATATTCTGTAATCTAATGTTTTATTGAATTTTAAGGAATTAAGAATTTTGGCTCTAAATTTACTATATAGTCATCACCTTTATTTTCTTTATGTTATTATTATGTACAGGCCACCAAATCTATAAAATTTGTCATGTTTATACACATACAAAAACAATTCAAATTTTTTTTTAAAATATGAGTGTAACCCTTTAATAATTTCAATCATGAAAATGGACACAAAAACTAAGAAAAACTTAATAGCTTCAGGTCTGTCAAACTTGTATCTTTATTTACTTGGCTGTGAAATTTTTTTTTTTTAAATAAAATAAAAATAATTAGCTTTTCTTTCACTTTCTTTCCAGTGAGAAAGTTTTAGTATCTTATCATTTTTTATACCTTCTGTATTCAAAGTGAATATATATTCTAATAAGTATGCTATTTTCAATAGACAAATAATTTAGATTTGAAATTTTATCATCTTGCTACAAACAAATCAACGTGTACCAATCAGAAAGAAAAGACTTATCATAACTGAATGTAAAGGGAGACAATTCCAAAGAAAATACAAATAACTAATACATAAGCTGAACAAATTTAAGCCAACAAATAAAATGTATATGTGAATGTGTATTAAAGCCAACAATAAAGCCAGTCAATTGATCAAGCAAATAAACCGGAAATCACATTAATTAGAAACTGTTTGTAACATTATTAGAAAAACCCTAAACATTTCATTTCACTGAACTTGGGACCCATATACTCTATACTGAGAAAGTCAACTGTGAAATAATAAAAAAAATAATTTAATATATTAGGGTGAAATTAAAGTTTGTAACGTTTTACAATATGCTATGTTTGAACATGTGATTTTGTTTCACACATAACTGAAATTTATGACATACACTAAAGTTCAAAAGTTTGAAGGAACCAAAACGAATTAACACTGGATGAACTTGAAAGAAGAGTGAAAAAAAAAATGAGACAAGAGCTCTTAGAGTCATTGAAAAAAGAATGGAATCAATTATCAAATTTATACTTTGAGAAACTTATGCAATGAATGTCAATATGCAATAAACTTTTGTTCAACCCCACACAAAATTGTTTCTGTCCAGAATGGGTCCTTGATAAGTTGTAGCAAAACCTAAATTAGCAAAAGTGTGAGGGTTGAGTATATTTGACAGCTTTTGAGCTTTATAGGATATATATATATATATATATATATATATATATATATATATATATAACTAATAACTGATACATCAAAATACAGACATAATGAACACACAGACACCCCTGTCTAGTGGAAGTGGATTTATCTGTAACCTTGGAAACGTCAATTATGATTTTAGCTGTGTCTTTAAAACCCAGTAATTTTAAAAGTTACTCCAAAATTCGCTTGAGGGTGAAATGGAACTAATGTCTTTAATTTAATTACAAAATTAAATTCAGGGCTTTTAGCTTCCATTTTTGAAACATGGTTAAAACTGGGTAGCAAAAAAAACATATTTTAAATCAATTTATAATATATATATATATATATATATATATATATATTATATTATATATATATTTGACAGTTTTTGAGCTTTATAGAAAAATATATATATATGATATAAATGATATATGATATAAAATATATATATATATATATATATATATATATGAATGAAAAATAATGGTTTTTTTTAATGCCATGTACCTTCAGGAAGTAGTGTTGAAAATTCTGCTAATTTTCAACAGAGATGGGTCTAGTTCTATCTTCAAAAAATAGAAAAGATGCATAGAATGCCCAGGTAACAATTGGTAGAATTGCAAAAAGATGCACATCACGACGAAGCAGAACAGATGAGTGGTTAACAAAAGTAACTGATTCCTCTATTAACAGGGCCCCTTTTTAAGCCCAAACTACAATTGGGAGAGTTATGAAAAAGATCCTCTTTGCAATGAAGCACAACAGATGAGTGGTTAACAGTAGTAGCCACTTTGTCTATTAATAGGGCCCCCTTTTAAAATCACATCACATTTTAACCAGGTGGAAGAAAACCAGAAGATTTAGTCAAATCTTCTGAGCAATCAACAGCAGTGCTTCTATCTCTATGAGGGGATTTCATCACTGGTAAATTTTATTTTCTACAGTAGCTGATCATGGTTTTTTAAAGATTCCTTTTCTGTGACTTGACATATCTTCTTGGGAAAGTCATTTCCCATTGCTATCTTTGGATTAAGATTTGTGTTTCTGCTAGACTGGCTGTCATCCAAGGCTAAAAAGCCCATTCAACTATGTTATTTAACCCATATTTGAGGGGAGATGAAATGGATTAATGCCTTTTCCAAGTGCATTAGTGCAGAAGTTAATGCAAAAGACTAGGCTGGGATTTGAACACAGCTTATTAATTCAACTTTTTATGCTGGCAAACATAATGCTAACCACACCTGCTGATAATATTTTCAACCAGCAATAGGGATCAGTGTTTGCTAAGAGTAAAAAAAGCTAATTTTCAATATATTCAGTTTCTGGCAAACATGGATTTTCATGCCGTCTAACAAAAAAAAAACAGTGACAATAGGACAATTTTTCCACTGATACTTCTTTTATTTTAACTACTTCTCAGCAATGTTTATTGTTTTAAAAAACAGTGATTAGAATTGTAATAAAATTTAAACATATGGCAGTGAATTCATACATTTTCTTTGTTTTTTAGAACTGACAACAAAAATAATAAAAACTATTTATTTATTAAATTGTTTATTTAGACTATTTATTTATTATGTTGTTTATAGGAATGGTTGATAAAACTAAGTGACTAATTGCCAAACGATTTGAACTTTATAAAATGATAAATAATAAGGATTTCCTTACAGTTGGTTCACAGATTTTAATAATTGATTAAATGTTTCTAAATTCTTGAATAAAAAATTGTTTTCATATTTATTTCTTTATAAATTGGTAAATGATAAATATTGCATTAGTTTTAATTGTATTAGTGTTTTAGAATGTTGTAAATATAAAATTATTCTTGTAAATAAACAATCTAATAAATAAATGGTGTTTAATATTTTTGGTGTAATTCTCAAGAACAAAAAAAATGTATTAATAATTTCAACATATGTTTAGGTTTTATCCTAATTCTAATCATCACTTTTTAAAATAATAAACATTGTCAAGGAGCGAAGGTAGTTAAAATAATAGCAGTGACAAGGGAAAAAAAAAAAACGTTCTTTTGAAACTGTTTTTTTGCAGGTACAAAAGTCCATATTTGCTAATTTTTTTTAAAAACTTTAACAAATTAAAAAACTTTTTTTCCTTTACTTAATGAATCAAGAGAGAGATTTAAAAAAAATTGAAAGAAACCCACTATTCAGTTTCAATCTTAGAGAGAGATAGCAAAAAGATAAATATTGTTAAGAGCAAGCTGTAGAAGACAAGAATTACCCTGAAGAAGAAAGAATATGCGATTTTACAATCAAACAATTTTTTCTTCATATTCCCTGCTCAAATAGAGGAAGTCAGATATGGTAGTTTAGTCTGGTAAAATGCTGACAGGGAAAATAGCCAAGAAGATTGTGTTTCACCAAGGGCTTGAGATTAATGGTGTACCAGGGATGATTTTATTTTAGTTAGGGATGGCTGGTTAAGTTTTTGAGGAATATGCCCTGGTGACAAAAATTTTGAATTAAAATTTTATCATATTAATTCTAAAAGCAACTAATTTCTAGCTTCTTATTAATAGTAGTGAAATTTTAATAAATGAAGCACACACACACACACACAAACCAAAGCATAAACAAAACTCAAGTGTTCATTTTAAACTGTTGAATGAAACCTGAATGAAAAATAAGTTAAAGGACAATATTAGATACATGCATTATGTCTAAATGTGAAAAGCATCAAATTCTAATTGGAAGAACTAATTTCGCTTTAAAACCTTTAGCACACTGTCAGTGACTATTTTCACCAAACAAAATGTTACTCTTTCCAATGCAAGATGAATTTGAATTTCTTGGTTGTGTAGTCATATCCTTCTATGGCAACACCTAAAACAATCTTGACTGAAATTGAGAGCCAGGCTACTGCAATTTCAAATATATAGAACTAATATATAAAACACTATATTTTGAGGGGTAATATTTTTTCAAAATATTTTTTTCTTCAAAAACCAATTGCTCCTTTTACAAAGCACCTCTGGCACCAAAACCCACTTCTACACCTTCACTGTGTTTTTACCCCAAATTTGGTAATAACTATTTGTCCATAGCTGGGACCCCAACAAGTGCCACCACCACAGGCCAGGGCAGATCTGGGAACACCAACAACCAAGAGGTGGTTCCATGTTCCTCAAAACCTCCTGATCAGAGGCCCTGCTGCTGGACGAAGTTCATCGTCTTACCCAGGACGCGGATGTAGTTTAAAATATCAGTTTATTTACATTTAAAGAAAACATAAAATAAACACAAACTTTCCCTTTTAAAATATCTTCTTTTTTTAGAAGAAGAAGAAGACATAAAGTAAATAGTTTTTAAAATATTAGAATGTTCATAAAATTTTAAGCCTGGCAATGACCTTGTTTACTTCAGCATTTTTGTCATCAGCCATTCCACATTATAACAAATTACAAATTAGTTTTTGCACAGGTGAAAAATATTTTACAGAATTATCTGAATAAGTCAAAATATCCTGTACGATTAGATTTTCTTTAAGATATGTACCAAATTATTTAAAAAAGTGAAAAAACAGCAAGTTGATTAAATGAATTCTAATTGTTAATACAAACATTATTTTTAATTATTATTAATAAAATCATTTTAGAATTATTTAAATATACCAAATTTTAATTTCATTTTAATTGGGTTTTCTTGAAAAAGACATAAATAAAATAACTTTTTTGTATTCAGTTGAAGGGAAAATGATTTAAACAAGTGAAAATAATCTGTTTTTGAATTAATTTTTATTATTATAATAAAAAAAATTGCAAATTTATTTAAATATATAAATGTAGTCTGTCCTTAAATAAATTTTTATCATTATAACAATAACAAATTTACATTATTTACATTATTCAGACTATTATCCTCATCTTTGTCACCATATTTATTACAATGTTTCGGCAGTTGTCAAACTGAACCCTTTATTTTGCTCACTGGGGTAGACTGTTCTAGTTCCACATGCCATGTTTAATGGATGTCAGTTATCTCCTGTTAATTTCCCTCTGAAAGTTATCCACTGCCTTAGCCAGGTATTGAACTCACACTCTTTGAAGAGTTCAGTTCGACATTCTAACCACTTGAAGAAGGCCAGAGCGTACAACGGCTGAAATGTTGTAATAAATATGGTGATAAAGATGAGGACAATAGTTTGAATAATGTAAATAATGTACATAATACCTCATCTCAGAAATATAGACAGATATAACAAATTTAGTCTGATTAAGTCCTAAAGGACAAAACATGTCACAAGAAAACTTTTTCCACTTTGACATACGTTTTTCTCTAATATCATTAAAATAAAAAAATACAAATTTATTACATAAATATAGTTTGTTTCCGAAGTAATCTTTACAACTGTTGTTTCCCTGTTGGTAAGCCAAGCATTCGACTATCAATAAATAAAATTCAAAAAGAAAATTATTTTTAAATATCAACTCTATAATAAATGATTGCACAACACTAAAAATTGATAAAATTTCATCATATTAAATTGTATTCTTTTCTTTTTGTGTGTGACATTTTCAAAGGTGTTAAAGATTTCTTACTTTGTTTGCAGGGCTCGAACAGCTGTCCACAAGACTCTTTCACCCCCTCCACCTGCATTGCTGTAAGGATGGAAGAATCCAATGGTGAAGATGCCCGGATATGTCTGGGCTGATTTCCGCTTGAGAATTATCCGTGTGATAAACACGAAAATGACAAAGCCTCCAGGAATAAGGAGAAAAACATAGAGGTAAGACCACATAAGCAGAAAAAGTAAGGCAATCAAAACCATAAGTGCAGAAACTAAAAAAGAAAGAAAGAAAAAGAAATTAAGTCACATCTTTATTTGGAGAGAAAATTCAAAATATTGGTACAACCATACAAAAACAGATCTATGTGCACATGTACAGGGTAACAGTTTTTTAAAAAACATTTTTCTTCACCTTTCACAGTGGTATAGAATTTAGAAATAAACAAATATTGTTATTTTAAATAAATACTCCTGTATCTTATATATATATATATATATATATATATATATATATATATATATATATATATATATATATATATTATTTAAAAAAAAAATTTATAACATAAATACGTTATAAAATCACTACAAAAATAGCCATTTCTATAGTGATTTTATAACATATTTATGTTATAAATTTTTTTAAAAATAAATAATTATATCTGCTCTACTCTGTATTGAGCACTCTTTTAAGAATAGTAATTGTTGGTTATTGGAATTCATTCCATATACACCAATTATATACTTGGGTATATATATATATATATATGATAAAAATATAGTTTTAAGGTATGCTATATTTATGGGTTAAAGTGCTCAATATCAGAGATAGAGCATATATAATTATAAAAGTGGACATTGAAGACAACACCCAGCAGCAACTGTCTGTTTCAGGCTTAAATGCAATCTTCAAATTTGCATTTAAGCATGAAACAGACTGTTGCCACACTGCCTGGTATTGTGACCAAGTACTAATTGCTGCATGGACAGGTTGTTAGTGTCTAAACCAACTCCCCAACTAGCTTTTCTGCTTGTGAGGAGGGTGTCATGTCACCACACAGGGTATAAAACAAGACCTGTTACAAAGTGGATGAGTTTTTTATAAGAGACAATGACCAACACACACACACATATATATATTGTGTATATTTAGGCAGCAACTTTTCATTAATGTATGTTTCATTAAATAATATAGACAAGTTTTGTCTATTTATTTTAAGTAAGTTCCTTTCATATTGTCTGATAAGATTAATCACATTATCGTTGAAAGACGAAAGGAAAACACCACATTGATACATGTTTAAATCCAATGTAAGCTTTCAGCTTACACAAGCCATTATCAAAGATGACAATTTCAATAAATCAAACAACACACGGATGAAACAACAATGATAGTCCACCCTTGCTGCATGAAAATTTCCAAATAATGACAAACTCATATATATGAGACGCGGAAGCGAAAATCGCATTGCACATCATGACATCACACATGACCACGCGTGAATGAAAAACAAGAAGTATTAAGTATGGGAAGCCATTGGTATAAACCAATGGCTTCTGTTATAAATTATAGGCATTTAAGGATATTTGTGGAGATTTCATAGTTTATTTTGTTCAGGTCAGGTTTCAACTGTTTTATGTATAAAGCTTCAAGAATTTTTAATTTTTGTTTATTGTTTTCATGTTTAAGTATAGTTGTGTTTTCAACGCGGATTTTCCAGAATTGAGTACGCGGGCAGGCATGTTGTTTTAAATGTCTAAAAATGTTAGTTATCATTTAAATGTAGAGTCAAGCGCCATGAAAGTGAGTTTGTTGTATGACCAACATAAATAATATTTAATCCGTTGGAGATACAAAGAGCACTTGAATTTGTAAACTATGTTGGTTTTCTGCTAATGGGGACGTGGAAAGAATCATTGCAAACAGTTAAGTTGGATATACTAGATTTAGTGTAGTATATGATTAACCTAATTTTTTTTGCTAGGGTCTGTTGTGGATATATTAGTATTTACTCATTTTTTTAGTATATTTTCATCTTGTTTATAATTAGTATGCATTTGACTACGATAAAAGAGATTAATATGTTTGGAATTAGTTGAAGCAGTATTATATCCCATTTGCATAGTATTAAAACTTCTAAGAAAGTATTTTATTTGTTCATCAACTATATAGTTTGGAAAGCTATTATTAATAAGTGTTTGTTTTATATTCTTTAGTTCACTGTAAAAAATCTGTTTTGTAGATGAATTAGTTTTTGCACAGTGTATTAGATTTTTTATAATTGCTATTTTGTAGTAATATGGGCATTCGCTTTTGTAGTTAAGTGTACATGAATTTATACTGGTAGGTTTTTTGTATGGCGAAATAGTAAATTTGTTATTATTTATGTTTATCAATATGTCAAGGAAGGGAAAGCTTAGATTGGATTTAAACATGTATCAATGTGGTGTTTTCCTTTCGTCTTTCAACAATAATGTGATTAAGCTTATCAGACAGTATGAAAGGAACTTACTCAAATTGACAAAACTTGTCTATATTATTTAATGAAACATGCATTAATGAAAAGTTGCTGCCTAAATATATACAATATATATATATGTGTGTGTGTTGGTCATTGTCTCTTATAAGAAACTCATCCACTTTGTAACAGGTTTTGTTTTATACCCTGTGTGGTGACATGACACCCTCCTCACCAGCAGAAAATCAGGAAGTGAATCTGGCTTTGTAAAACCTTGCCTCAGGTCATCATGACAAATGGTTTATCAGGCAGGAGCCACCATGATTTGTGCAAGATTAATCCTCAACAAAAAAAAAAACACAGCTATGTATGTATGTATGTACCCCCATTGTCCTCCAATCTACCTGTTAGTTCTTCCTGTACACTCTCATCCCCAATACAACCAAAATTCATGCATTTAAGAAGAATCACACCTTTCACTCTGACCTTGGGCTTTATTACAAAGTCTACCTTGTTAAACTCCCAGCCTGTGTCAGCATTGTATGTGATTTCACATGTCTTCCATGTGGTAAAGGGTGCATGAGTAAAGCAGACCTCAAAAGTCACCAGTGACATCACATGAAGCTCAATGTTATTAACTACATTGAGGATGGTCTGAAAATATGTAGACATTGTGGAGGAGAGTGCACTTCAATGGGAGGCATAAGGAGACACATGAAAATTCATTACAATGACCAGGAAGCAGCAGTAGCACATGCTATGGGTCTATTCGGCTGTAATGTTTGTGGTCAACAATGCCAGTCCCTGCCTGGCTTAAAGAGTCATTTGGTTGTATTGGGGATGAGAGTGTACAGCAAGACATGTATTGATTTGCGGCCATCATATACGTATGTATGTATATGTATGGAGAGCTGGTATTGCTGATGGTGTCAAGATCTTTCATGAGGCTTTTTACGGACTTCATCAAGTATTGGGGTTATTGTAACATCTTTCTTTAATGTAGTTCTTATCACTCACCCCTTAACCACCTTTATCTAGAGACGAGACACGTTAAACTTGAGCAACATCCAGCCGACACACTGGGGTTAAAATAGGAAACTAAAATGATACATATGACACACTCATATCCTCTCTCCCACCTCACTTCCTCACTTCGTTAACTTTGCGTATACTTGATGAAGTCCGTAAAAAAATGTGTGAATTTCTTTTCATTTTTCATTTCAGCTTTTGGAAGTAAAGTCTGATGATCCAGAACCTTGTTAAAGGGGTTATGGTGAAATAGCTTATTACATGGAATCTTAACGTGGTCTGTCTTTTATTCAAACAAATATATATATATATATATATATATATATATATATATATATAAAATACCAATTCATAATTGGTAGGGATAGTTCCAAGGGAGGCATTAGTGCAAAGAGAGCTCAATGTAAATTACAAAGCAATATAATAATAAATCAAGAAAAACCTTAAAAATCTATCTTGGTTATAATAACTTCATGAAATAAATTATGACCTAGATGGATTTTTAAGGTTTTTCTTAATTCATTATTATTATTATATATATATATATATATATTATTTGTGGGGTATCTTTCTTTTATTTAAACATTGATTTGATACCGCAAAATTTCATTATTGCCTTAAATATGATAGATGTCAATATCTTAATACTAAAAGAAAAGGTGGGGATATCTGAGGTACCTTTCAGGTAATTCTTGTCTTTTTTTTTATTTATTATAATAACGAGAAACTATTTATGGGACTAAATGGGAAAACAAAATTGGTGCACAATTACAAGATAAAACTGTAACAATCAAAACTGGTAAATCATTTCAGTTTGTAAAGATAAAAACAAATAAAATTAATAAACAAACCTGAAAAAGGCACAAGAATAATTAGGATGTATCAAAAATACTTTTACAAACTTTGGGGTCAGGTTCCTCACATGAAAAAGCAACAAAAGTCCATATAATTATATGTCCACAAATCCTTCAGCTTTTGAGTTATTGTGTATTGGTCGTTTCAATATTCCATATATATATATATATATATATATATATATATATACATGTTTCATTAAATATGACAGACAAGGTACTGTGATTAAGCTTTTTCTTTAATTTTTCTTTTCTGGACACAGAGTCTGTAGAAACTGTTCAAATGTCTGTAATTCCGAGTGCTTTCGCCTATACTTTTAGCCATTATAAAGGATGATTTTATTTTTGCTTTTTAACCGGATGTATGGGTCTAATCTATGGAATGTTTATTAAGATGAGATAAATGAGGGAAAATCATTCAAATTTTAATGTCAGGTATAACTGTAAATTATTCCAATAATTGTTGGAGCGAATGATTTTGTTTCAGCATCAATTTCTGGTTGTCATTTAGCATAATTTTTAATTCAGATAAGTAAAAAAAAAAAAAAAGAATTATGACATAACAATTATGACATTAAGGTTAAAGATGCATAAAAAAGAGAAAGAAAAAAATTGTGAGTAGAAAAAGCAAGCTGGTCAATTTTGTATGACATGACAATATATTGTTAAAATACAACGCATAAAAAGAGTAATTTTTTTAAACCCAGAATTTTTAAAAAAATGGTTAATAAAGAGGGAGTGTCAGTAATCTAAATTTAGTAATAAAATTCTCATTTACTCAAGCAGCTAAAAATTTCAAATTAAGATAACTGATTATGAATTATTTTTTTTTAACTAGAATTTTATTTTGTTTTTTATTACAATTCTCTCATTGGAGAACTGAGAAAAAAACAGAGGGAGAAAAAAAACATAAAAAAGAAAGAAAATCACAGAAGGAGAAAGCAAAAAAGACAAAAAAAAAGATGAAAGAAAGAAAAAAGTCGCTAGTGTGATCTGAACCCACATCCCTAAACTTTGGATGCCTGTCTTGCTGTAATAGACATTAATATTTTAATTTTAAATAAAGCATTCATATTGATCAAGAAATATGAGTTTTTTATAATCTTTAAACTGACATTTTTGTACATTATTATATTGTGTTTTGGTGTTTTTGAAAACAAATTGGGCAAAAAAAGTAATTAGTTTCTTTTTTTTTCATTACTAAGTAAGCATGGAAATTAATTTTTACTTACATAACAGTCGCATAACAATATTTGGTGATCTTTTACATTTTTTTATCAGTAAAACAGTTGGCTACTTTTACATGGTAAAATTTTACAGCAACAATTTATTTTTGAAAACTAGACTTGTTTTTTTTTTCTTTGCTAGAAAATTTTCATATTTTATGATAGAACTTGTATGCCGAATGTTTGTAGCTGTGAGAACAGCTGTCAAATGTTTCCTTCTCACCATTTTACTGATATAGAATAGAACAAAAAAGATCACTCAGTATTGTTTTAATAATTCTCTTTGTACCTCCCTTAGCACATATGTACATATATTACATCCTGCCAATACCTCATAAATAATGGACTATTCTCTTTTGATTGCACATAGAAAGACAGAAACTTGGTTTCAATGAGAAAAGAAAGAAGATAGAGACGATATCACTCTCATATGTTTAATGTCTATTTCAACAAAAGTTGTCAATACCGCATTATTTTATTTGTAACCTGTTACTTCTTAAAATACTGACCAGCATAGTTATTGCAATATTTTGTTAAATTGTTAGGTTCAAATATTTAAGAATGTGACAGGGAAATTTCCAGATATTTTATTGTCATAGAACTTGCCATGAATTTATTTAATCATTAAGTTAAGAATTAAGATTCATCAGAAAATTCAAATCAGAAGACGGTGACATTTTCACAAGCACTTTTAGTTGTTTTAATCCTGTGTTTCTATAATAAAATGACACTCCTAGATAGAAGCTCACCTATTCCTCTAAATTGAATTGTTCTGCATTTATTTAAAAAGACATTCTTTTTTTGTCAAAGTTTAACCTTCATGCCTTTAATAAAATGGTGGGTCAAACGGATAGTTTTTTTCCCTGGAACCATTATTATTTTAACTACCATCACTCTTTGGCAATGTTTGAAAAGTGAACCCAAACATACGGAAGTGAATTTATATATTTTCTTTGTTTTTTGTATTAAATTGTTAATAGTTTTTAATAATGTTTCAATTTCTCCCAAGTTACCTTTGTAGTTTTACTAAGATTGAGACTGAAAAGTGGATTGCCTCATTTTTTTCCGTCTCACTATTGACTCACTGCACAAAAGGAAAAATTTGTTTTAAAATTGGGTAAACATGGACTTTCATGGCCGCAAAAAAAGAAAAAAAAAGAAAAAAAAAACAGAATGTGTCAAAAGCACTGTTTTTCTCATGACACCACTTTTATTTTAACTACTAAGTGATGATTAGTATTGTAGTATAATAGTATAAAACCAAAACATATGATGAAAGTGAATTTATGCATGTTTTTATTCTTAAGAATTTACAACAAAAATATTAAACACTATTTATTCATTAGATTGTTCATTTATGAGAATAATTTTATATTAACAACATTCTAAAAATGCAAAACAACTAGTATAATATCCAGTGTTTCTCATTTATCAATTTATAAAGAAATAAATATGAAAACAATTTTTTTATTCAGAAATTTATAAAACTTTACTAAAGTATAAAAATATTCAGTTTATTGCATTAAAAAAGATGATTAAAATTTGAATAAATCCCAAACATATGAAAGTGAATTTATATATTTTCTTTGTTCTATGCTTTAAAAGTTTTGATAATTTTGTAATTTTTTTTAAATAAAAAGATTTCTTTTTACATTTATTTCTTCATAAAAGATAAATAATAAATATCGCATTGTCACATATTTTTAGAATATTGTAACATTGCCAAGGGAATGAAGGTAGTACAAAATAATAGCGTTGTCGAGGGAAAAATTGTCCTATTGACTAATCATTTTTTGTGTGGATGAAGGTTAAACATTGTAATTTTTTTCTTTGTATTTGTATGATTAGTCTACGCCATTTTAATGTATAATAATGTGTCTTTTAGACAAAGTTAACATTTTCTTATTTTGGTTTCATTTCATTCAAGTTGGTTATCATATGAAGAAATTAAAATTTTATCTTTTGAAGGAAAACTAACAGAAAAAGATTTCCTCTGACAGTAAAACCAAAAGAAAAGTTATTGCATTTGAGTTCTGAGAGAGTATTTTAAAAAGCAAGAATATTTTAAATAGCGAAAATAAATGAAAGTATTAAGGAAGAATCGGTCATTTTGTTTACATACATACAGATATTTCCATTTTCGTAAAAAAAAGGACACTGAAAAGTAGAGAAAAAAAGAAAACTTTTTTTTTAGGTTCTTAACACAAACAGAACTTATTAAACAATAAACATGGCTTTAAAAAAAATGTCTACATTTAGAATTTTTTTAAAGAAGAAAAATAGGTTAATTTTCAGATGAAGACCCGCACTTAGTTTGCAATAAAATTTTTCCAAATACATACATTTAGGTATTAAAGACATTTTTATGTTTAACGTTCTTTTTTATAGATACAAGTATTTAAGTAAATGCTCTGTTTATAATAAACAGTATTAAATAACATTTACCGGCCTGAATGTCCAAGAAATTTTCATAGAAAATATTCATTCTTTGACAGGATTCGAACCTGCATCCTATACGGAACCGTCATTTACGCTGACATGCCTTACCAATCGGCCACAAAGAAGCGTTCGGTAGACAAGTTCGAATTTACTGCTTATAAACGCTTCTTTGTGGCTGATCGGTAAGGCACATCAGCGTAAATGACGGTTCCATTATAGGATGCAGGTTCGAATCCTGTCAAAGAACGAATATTTTCTATGAAAATTTTCGGACATTCAGGCGGTAAATGTTATTTAATACTGTTTATTATAAACAGAGCATTTACTTAAATACTTGTATCTATAAAAAAGAACGTTAAACATAAAAATGTCTTTAATAAATAAATTGTCGGACTTTGTCCATTTCTTAATATACATTTAGGTGTAAATGTACATGCTTCATTTGAAAATAACTTGATAAATTTGATAAAATCTACCGTTTTGGAGTTATCAGGAATAAAAGTTTGGATTCGTTCGCATCGCAGCAGCCATTGCTAGTGTTGTCTGCATTCATTTGCTGTGGAACAGCTATGAGTGGAATATTCACTTGTCTTACTTATTGCACACACAATATAATCCTCTTGCGCAGTAATTGAGACAAGTTGGGACGAGTGAGATCAGTAAAAATAAGGCCATTAACTACATTCTTCGGCACTTAGCTTTCTGCAGCGAATGTATGCAAACAACGCCAGTAATGGCTGCCACCAACGACACAAATGAATCCGAATTTTTACTGTTGATAACTCCAAAATGATAGGTTTTATCAAATTTATCAAGTCATTTTCGAATGAAACGTCTACATTTACACATAAGCGTAAGTATTTGAGAAATTTTTAATGCAAACTGAGTGCGAGTCCTAATCTGCAAATTAACTGAAAAATATCAATCTTGCAAAAAAAGAGTATATATATGTGCTTGTCTACAGTATGTTTTAAGATAAAGCATGAAGTAACCAAACTTACGTGTGTAGAGTCCAGTAATTAAAGTCAAGTTTCCTAAAAAAAAAAAATAATGCATAATTTTTGGTAATAATTTGCATATTGTTTTATTTTTTTCTTACATACCAAAATATTAAGAATAGTTTAAGAAAAATCTTTCAAATTTTAAAACCTATAAATTCAATTAAAGTTAATACTTATATACTCAGTAAATTAGTAGAAAAAAGAAAAACTATATAAGTCTTGTTGATTTTACTGCTCGAAACAATTTTCATTTAAATACTGAATTATCTCCCTTAGATTTCTCTCACTACATTCATTTAAACATCAGAAATAAGACAAAAAATAACATTTGAAAGGCAATATAATTTATTTTAACTACTATTCCACTAATTTTGGGGAAACAGAAATTTAATTCAGTCTCTCTGAAGTTCACAGATATATATCTCAATTTATATGGAATGACAGCTGAAGAAAATCAATTTGAGAAAAAAAAATCAATAAAAAATGGACAATAAAAATCTTCACAATTCACAGAGAAAGATCAATTGTTCTTATTTACAATATTTCTATTTGGACTATTGTTGCCATCTTTGCAGTTTTTATCACAATATCTCAGCTGTTGTGATCTCTGGCCTTGTAATATCAATCTGAGTAATCTACAGAGAATTCCGAACTGAACCCTTTATTTAATCTACATCAGTTAAATTTATTTTTACTACATATGAGAATAGTGAACTAATGGATAACAGATCAGATCACCAGAGGACACAATGGCTGAAACATTGTGATAAAAACAACAAAGATTAGGACAATAGTCGGAATATAAATAGTGTAAATAATGATAACTCCTCATTCCAGAAATTCAGACTGAAAGCAATCAGGTGATAAAAATAACAAAGATTAGGACAATAGTCGGAATATAAATAGTGTAAATAATGATAACTCCTCATCCCAGAAATTCAGACTGAAAGCAATCAGGTGATAAAAACAACAAAGATTAGGACAATAGTCAGAATATAAATAGTGTAAATAATGATAACTCCTCATCCCAGAAATTCAGACTGAAAGCAATCAGGTGATAAAAACAACAAAGATTAGGACAATAGTCGGAATATAAATAGTGTAAATAATGATAACTCCTCATCCCAGAAATTCAGACTGAAAGCAATCAGGTGATAAAAACAATAAAGATGAGGACAATTGTCTGAATATAAATAGTGTAAATAATGATAACTCCTCATCCCAGAAATTCAGACTGAAAGCAATCAGGTGATAAAAACAACAAAGATTAGGACAATAGTCGGAATATAAATAGTGTAAACAATGATAACTCCTCATTCCAGAAATTCAGACTGAAAGCAATCAGGTGATAAAAACAACAAAGATTAGGACAATAGTCGGAATATAAATAGTGTAAATAATGATAACTCCTCATCCCAGAAATTCAGACTGAAAGCAATCAGGTGATAAAAACAATAAAGATGAGGACAATTGTCTGAATATAAATAGTGTAAATAATGATAACTCCTCATCCCAGAAATTCAGACTGAAAGCAATCAGGTGATAAAAACAACAAAGATTAGGACAATAGTCGGAATATAAATAGTGTAAACAATGATAACTCCTCATTCCAGAAATTCAGACTGAAAGCAATCAGGTGATAAAAACAACAAAGATTAGGACAATAGTCGGAATATAAATAGTGTAAATAATGATAACTCCTCATTCCAGAAATTCAGACTGAAAGCAATCAGGTGATAAAAACAACAAAGATTAGGACAATAGTTGGAATATAAATAGTGTAAATAATGATAATTCCTCATCCCAGAAATTCAGCCTGAAAGCAATCAGGTGATAAAAACAACAAAGATTAGGACAATAGTCGGAATATAAATAGTTTAAACAATGATAACTCCTCATTCCAGAAATTCAGACTGAAAGCAATCAGGTGATAAAAACAACAAAGATTAGGACAATAGTCGGAATATAAATAGTGTAAATAATGATAACTCCTCATTCCAGAAATTCAGACTGAAAGCAATCAGGTGATAAAAACAACAAAGATTAGGACAATAGTTGGAATATAAATAGTGTAAATAATGATAATTCCTCATCCCAGAAATTCAGCCTGAAAGCAATCAGGTGATAAAAACAACAAAGATTAGGACAATAGTCGGAATATAAATAGTGTAAATAATGATAATTCCTCATCCCAGAAATTCAGACTGAAAGCAATCAGGTGATATGAACAATAAAGATGAGGATAATTGTCTGAATATAAATAGTGTAAATAAGATAATATTTTTTTTCTGATGTATGACTTTTGAAAATCCAAAGGAAATCTCAATGTATGGGAAGTAATTCAGTGTTTACCTCAGGGAAAATTTAGATTGCTAAAACCAACAATACCAATGTTTGTTTCCTATAAACCAAAAAATAAAAATGTACTTGAAGATGTTTGATTAACTTGAGTGAAATAGAAAAATAAAAATATAAACACAATCCAATTTTTGTAATCCTTTTCAAAATGCAGCTTTTGGCTTCCCAATCAACTTTGACCTTCAAAAATTTCAATCCAGTGTCAATCATTGTCTTCTATCTCCTTAATTCTTGTTCTTTTATTGTCCTCTCTCCTTAACAGTAGCTTTTCTCATATTCTCTAATATTCACTGGCTCTATTGCCTTGCTTGGGGTGAAAAAAAGGGCAAAGTGAAGAATCTGTTCTTAGCTTAATTAATATGTGATTTGCTTTAGTTTTTTTTAGTGTCAAGTAATTTTAACTGAACCTTATCATGCTTAAGAAAATTTCAATTTGCAGTCTTGTTTCAGGCTTAAAATATAACCTTAATAAGAGACAGAAATTTTGGTTATATGCCATAAGTTGAGATGGGTCACATTAAATTGAGTTGGAAATGATAAGGTCTTTCTGTGTAGGCTAACTTAAGGTGACGTTATGTGTGCTTGGGCAAATTTTTATCTGTTCTATGTTACAGTTTGATAATCATTTCTCTAAAAAATCATTTCTAATTTTTAGTTTTCTAAATTCTAAAATATAAATAACAGAGATTTATTTTTTAAAAAAGTGAACTTTTACTGAAAAATAAAATTACCTCAATAAAATCTGAGCCTGGTTTCCTGTCTAAAAAATGCTTAGCCTTTGAAATAATCTTGTCTTGCTTATAAGCATGATACGGATAAAAACAAAAGCCCAAGTGTCTCTCTCTCTCTCTCCCTATATATATATATAATCTTCTATAATAAATAATATATATATATATATATATATATATATATATATATATATATATATATATATATATATAGTGGCACAGTTGAGTAATGGATAACAGCTTGGATTGAGGAATCAGAGAGCCGAGTTCAAATTCCAGTCAAATTCATTACATTCACTTACGTGCTTGGGAAAGGTATGAATCCTCTTCTTCTCCCTCCAGTTATGGATAAATAGCAGGACAGATTGTGTTCTATAGCCTTGGATAGCAACTGGTCTAGGAGGACAACTCTGAATTCAAAACCTTCGGAAGGTCGTTTGAGAATTTTGCGGCATGTAGTGCACCAGGTCTCTGTATTCAACCCTTCAAAAAGTGTGGATGGTTCTGCACAAAACCTTCACCACTATAATCAAATCTCATGTGCTGGTGTTGGGCTGTTCGTTCCTAGGGACTGATCTGTTTGACCCTCATACATCAAAGTCAACAGGAGAGTTGAATATATATATATATATATATATATATATATATATATACAGGGTGTCCATAAAGTTCGTGTGCACTTTAAAAAATTTCCTGCTGTTTACCCAGGTGGCAGGGAGAAGAGGTGGAGTCATACCTTCCTCAAGGGTATTAGGACATAAGTGGACGTAATGACCTCAACTGGAATTTGAACGTGGCTCTCCAATTTCTCAATTGAAGCCACATTACTGCACTGTTTTTATAAGCAGTAAAAATAAATTTAAATTTCAAAGTACAAAGAGCAAGGATCTATTGTAAAATTTGACTTTAAAATAAAATTAAAAGAAATCTGAGACTTGATGTGCTTACTAGTATCATGGTAAAAAAAAAACTACATAAATCACCAAAAAAAGAAAATAAAGACAGAAATAGCTGTGTAATTCAGAACAAGTCAAGTACTGTGGTCCATGTTGTAATGTGTATGTGTGTGTGTGTGTGTGTGATGGCACATAAATCTGAAGAAATTGTAGTAATGAGAAACAAATTACCGTATTTTCCATCTTACAAGATGCATTTTTTTTCCTGAAAAATACATGTGCGTCTTCGAAGACGAATGTCAGGTAACCCCCTGGCTCAAGTTAGCTAGGACGGTTACCTAAATGTGGTGACTCATAGGGATGTAAATTTATATGTTTAGTCATTAAACTGATGTTAGCTATCTAATTCAGCCTTTTATATGATGTAACTTCAGTACTTTGCTGTTACAAGTATTTCCAAGGCTATAAACCTTCCTGGAGCCAAGCCACAAACTTAAACATACTCTGTTTACTAGCAGCAGCGGAGCCTTTCTGCTCTTGTCTAGTATGTCATTGCCATACAAACAAAATCGGATGAGTGATTAATGTAAACAATACGTGGCACCAGTATGTGAGGAACGCATGGTGAATGTGTTGTTGTATGAGAATGACTTTTCTTTCTTAGAAATTTCTTTCCAATATTAGGGTGCGTCTTCCAAGCTGCCCCATCTTGTAAACCGGAAAACATGGTAATTTATTAAAAAGGTTTTCAGAATTACAAAGATTAAAACAAGCAATTACTTCACTAAATAAAAAGTGAATATTACAAATCAAACCATGAAATCTGTTTTTTATATGCCATATGCTTTCAGAACATAAGGAATTACAGTTCTCCACAACTTCTTTCTTTTGTTTTTCTAAGTAACTCTAACCTCTTTGCCACTCTTCTTTATTTTATTATATAAATAACTTGCTGTTTCCGCAGACGTCTCTTGCTTTTATCACTTAAATGTGTACACATCTTTTATAATGAAAGCAAAAAAATTTGCTACATCTAGTTTTCAAAAATTAACCAAAAATCAGGAAATTGTCTGATTTAAATGAAATTTTCAG